CGTCTTCCCTCAGCTCCCTTTTCTCTTATGTATATGACCCTTTTCCTCTTCCCGTCTTTCGCAGCTTCCCTTTTCGCTCTTCCCGTGCTTGCCCAGCTCCCTTTTCCTTCTTTCCGTCTTCCCAGCTACCCTTTTTCCTCTTCCCTGCGATTCACGCAGACTCCCTTTCTTCCTCTTTACCCGTCTTCCCTAGTTTTCTACACCGCTTTCCTCTTTCCCGTCTTACAAGCCAAGCTCCTTATTCTCTATCCCAGTTTCACCAGCTCCCTTTTCCTAACTTCCCGTCTTCCCAGCTGCGCCTTTTCGCTCTTCCCGTCTCCCAGCTCCCTTTCCTCTTCCCCAGCTCTCCTGTCACACACTACACACACACAAGAATGCATGCATATAAAATGTGACGAACTCGGTCATTTCTCTCCCAGGTGTCCCCATGTTGCGCGAGGTGGTGCCGTCTGGTTCCCTGGGCTTCTTCGGAGGCTCCCAGAAGATCTATATGACGTCGTGGCACAATCGCTCTTTCGTGGCCGTCGTCGGGAACTCCAGGAATGTCTCCCTCTACACACTCGATTCTCAGACGCTGCAGGTTTGTGAGGAGTCTGTGAATTTAATTTAAATTCAGTGCTTTTCAGTTCTTTGCTCATGGTTTCTTGGCTGTGAGTGAGTGAGTGAGTGAGTGAGAGAGTGAGTGAGTGAGAGAGTGAGTGAGTGAGAGAGTGAGTGAGTGAGAGAGTGAGTGAGTGAGTGAGTGAGTGAGGATCTGTTCATATTTTGGTTTTGGTTCGTATTTGTTTTGCCATATTGTATAAAATCATGGGAATGAGGGTGAGGTTATTGTGAACGTGTTCTTAATCCCTCGACTCAATATTGCTTATAACGTGTATTAATCCCTCGCCGTACAATGCCTTTTCTCATCACCTAGGCCACTCACTGGGACACCGTCGACGGGAACGTGGCGTGTGACTTCGGCGTCGTCACTAATGACAGGCTGCTCCTGACGTGTGTAGAAGACACCACCACCAGCTCTCCTGTCGTCAATGTGTACCAGGTCCTTGAGGATACAGTAGGCGGGAATGTCTCTCTCAGCCATCACCAGGTCATCCGGGCAGAGCACCCTATAGATGTGAAGATGTGGTGAGTTGGATTTGAAAAAGGAAAACGCGCTGTAGAGAAATTGTTTCGGCTACAAAGAGAGAGAGGAAAGCAAGGGAGGAGTTAAGGGGAAAAATGTGAAAAAAATTAAAAAAGGAAAGTAGAAAGATTACGATGAGATGAGAATCAAGATCGAGAGAGAATGTGAGGTATTGGCTAGGAAAGATAATGAAATGTGGTTCCTGTCAAAGTTAACATCACCCTTCCTCCAAACCCCCAGGACGCAGCTGGACACCACGATCCTAATGGTGGCTGAATCCCTCAAGATGGTGAACGTTACTGTGGAGACGGACTCCGGGACTAAGGTGGTGACGATGGCCAACTACGAGACGGTGTCGTTCGTGTACGAGTGGGCCGGCGAGTACTTCGACGCCATCCAGGAGCTGCCAGGGACGAGACCTTACTCCGTGACGCACATCAGGATCTACAACGCCCACTTCATCGCCATGGCCAACTTCGTCAATAATAAAGGTTAGTCGTTTCTTCCCCTTTTATTTTTTGTGCTATATTGTAAATGTCATATTGACATTCGCCGACGTTCTGTTGTCTAGACCTCGGGATATCTTCATCCAATTGTAACCAAGTGCCAACACAGCTTGTTATATAAAGATCATCCACGTTATCACTGGAATTGTTATTGTCTCCCTTCCCTCCAACCCCCAGGTCACCACAACATCTACAGCACGATCTACAAGTACTCTCTGAATGTGGGCCACTTCGTCCCCTTCCAGCAGATCCTCACCAAGGGCGCCTACCACTTCGAGACCTTCGTTCTAGGCTCCGGGCTAGGTTCTGATACCTTCCTGGCGGTGGCGAATCACTGCGAGGACAACGAAAATGGTTAGTTTAATAGACAACGATACATTAGATGGAAAACCATCTATGATTGGTGGAATGCAGGAAATTTTCTGGCTACATAAATCTTTGTGCTGTTTGGACGGGGTTATGGGTGCATTGTGAATGCTATTTCTATGTACTCATTTATGCTTAATTTGTTTTAATCACTCCTATGTCAGTTTTGTTGGTAAAATTAAAAAGTTTGGGTATTTGTTACCGACAGCGAGGTCCCAAAACCAGGGTATCAGGCACAGGGCTCTCAAAAGCAGCCAGGCACCGGCGGCAAATCGCTCTGTGGCTGGTTTTGCCGCTGGCTATTTTTGTCTGCTCTCAAAAGATTTTTTCACCTTCCCGCCATGCTGAAACCAGCTACGAACGTGAATTTTTTGCGCTATGCACGGCTGGCCGCTTTTCCGTAGCAGCATTTCTGCCGTTTTTTAAACATTAGATGGTAAAGAAAATGGAAATAAATAATAATTCGCCACCCTTGCACCCTGCTTTTCAGGCCCCTTTACTCTACTATACTCCCAACTTGAGAGCCCTGAATGCGAACCCAAAACTCCAAACGTAACCTTTCCTTCCTTTTTCCTAGGTAACAAATATAAGGTACCTCCTCTCTCCCCATATAAGCACTTCGTGCCAATAAGGTGCCCCCTCTCCCCCTTGTTAGCACTTTGTGCCAATTCAAAAACTGTTGTGTATTTGACTGTGAGTGCTAATAATTAGCGGATATTTTCGTCATGAGGTAAATGTGTGGTCACTGCATCTGTATTGTTTATTCCTTGTGCTTTATAAGATTTCCCTCTCTCTGTACATCACTTTGGTTACATTAACCAAAGTTTATATTCTAAATATTAAGTGTAAGATGTTACCAAGGTTTCAAAAAAGACATAATAGAACAAGTTTTCATGAAGGCAATCGCAATGGAAACTAGAAAAAGGCATCTTAAACAGGCTTTAGCATTATGCACAGTGCTAGTTCTTTGTGTCAGAGAAAAAGAAATTGAATAATTTTTCTTAATATTTTATGAATTGACGCACATGTTTCCTATGTTTTATACATTTTCTGACTTGTTTAATATGCATATCATGTTTTTTTTTCACTTATGCACATCATACTTATTATATCACATCATTTCAGGTGGTTGTAATCCCCATACAAACTCTCATATTTACCGATATCGTCTTGGTAAATTTATTCTTTACCAAGATATCCCGACGTCTTATGCTGTGGCCTGGCTCGCTATTCAGGTAGGGTCTTATCTTTACAATTCTTTCACTTTGTTTATCATTACGTTTATCTTATTTTTATTTATTCATTTATTATTATATTTTTAAGGAAAAGTGAATCTGATTTCATAGTCCATGATTTGAAAGGCAAAAGTTAACAGATTAGCACTCATAAATTACAGTTCCACTTTTCCTACGCCCAAGATTTAGTATCACGATAATACTCACCAGCAGTTAACATCCCAGCAGGTAATTGACCGATTCTGCTATGAGTTTGACACGAAATCAAATGGGATTCAGTCGGTTTCAGCCACAAAATGTTGTTGAGCAGTGGATGGGGAAGGGTGAGAGGAAAAGGGAGCAGAAGCTAGCTAGCTATCCATCCATCAACCCTGAGTCTGACTAGATGAGTCCCACATTTAGGGAGTGTGTGCTAGCTAGCCAGCCAGCCATCACTCAATCCTGTGTCTGACATTAGGGATAACTAGTTCCATATCTTGCCCAACATCAGTGATGTCACATCCAATGTCAAAATCACTGCAGTTGCTATCATCCTCCAGGACCTGCTGAGTCACAGCATCTGAGATCAACCATACTCCTGTGGAAATTTCCAAAATCACAAAATTCCCCCTTTTCCAGCCTGCATCTACTGCTCTAATATTTATGTAATTGACAAATACAAACATTTATGTACAAATTATCACCAATGCGCCCACCAAAAATCCTCAAGTAAGTACGAGGATGCCTCAAATAGGTAAAAAAAAAAGTTCATCGGGAATCACTCTCCTTCTTATGGTACCATATGGGTATTTCATACCGTTTTCAAACTTAAGGCAATTTCTATAGCGAAGAGTGGTGTAGTGTTCTCTTCCACTTCTAAAAGAATGTGGACTGTTGCCTGGTCCAATTGTTTGATCTCCTGCCAGGGATGCCATACACACATGCTCTTCTAAGAGTTAATCAAGGGTCACTCTCAATCTCAATAATAATGCGCAGGGCACTAATGAGCGCATAGCACGCATATTGGTGGTGATTGGTTGCTGGGTGGAAAGGGGAAGGATCAAGGTACGTGGAAAGAATGAATGCTTGTAAGAGTTAGTTGGTGTGATATGTGACAAATTTACTGGTGTGAGTTCCTTGTATTACGTGAGTGTGCTGCGTGTCCGTATCCGTGTGTGTTGATGTCTACAAGGTTGCTTGTGATTTTGTACATGATTGTGTCTGTGTGCTTGTCTTAGTGTCTCGAGCAAGTCCATGTTAATCTGTTTTTTTATGCGAGATGTAATACCAGGTGTATATGAGTAATTGTGTGTAATAAACCTGGCAGCCCTAGAATGAACCTTCGCGAGTTTCTCAATGTTGTGCTTAGTGTAGGGGTCCCATACAGCTGTACAGTACTCTAGTGTTGGGCGTACAAGTGTTTTTTAAGCTGTGTTTGATGTCAGGAGTACTGTTGTGTAGGTTCCTCCTCAGAAACTGTTCTGTTAGCTTTATTGATGATAAAAGTCGATGTGTGTATTGAAGGTGAGATGATTGGATAGGTGGATGCCAAGGTATTTCAGATGCTGGGTAATGGTTGTATAAGGTGTAGTGGATTGGTGTGTGGGATTTGGTAAAGCATTTATCGGGTCTAATGGACATTTGCCATAATCTTTCCCACTGTTCTAGTGCGTCAATGTCTTGCTGGAGGAGTCTACAGTCGTCTTTAGTTTTAATAGGTTGAAACAAAAGGCTGTCGTCAGCAAAAGGTCTAGCAGAAGAGAGGAGTCGAAAGTGGAAGGTCATTAATGTACAGAAGGAAAAGAAGGGCCAAGAACGGTGCCTTGTGGGACACAAGAAGAGACGGGGACAGGGTCAGAAGATACGCCGTCGAGTAAGACACGTTGGGTCTTGCACATCAAGAAAGCAGTGATCCAGGGAAGTATTGGTCCTCTGATCCCGTAATGTTGTAATTTGAGTAAGTCTTTTGTGGGGAACTTTCTCAAAGGCTTTGGCAAAGTCAAGCAGTATGGCGTCAACTTGTTTCGTGTCACGTCTGTCTAGTTGTTGGACAATGTCATGATGAGTAGTGATTAGTTGGGTCTCACATGATCGTCTAGGCCGAAAACCGTGTTGTGATCGATCGATCGATGTGAGGGAGATGGGGCGATAATTTGTCGGGTCAGTTCTGACACCTGTCTTGAAAAGGGGGGGGGGGGTTGATATTTGAACAAAGCCAGTCAGTTGGTAGGGTGAATGAGGCGAGTGATTGGGAAAAGATTGATGAAGAAGGATGGGGGCAACGACAAGGGCACAGGACTTGAGGATCAAGGCGGGGATTAGGTCTGGTCCAGTGACTTTGTGTCAAGAGTGGACAGTAGATTCTGCAGGCCGTTAGTCATGTCGAGCGGTGGGATTGGGGGATAAGGTCTATCTGGAATGTTAGGTGTATTATCGTCTTCGTGTGTAAAAACAGATTGGAAGTGTGTGTTGAGTAACTGTGATTTGTGTTCTGGGTCAGTTGCAAGTGTGGTGTTGGAGTCTTTTAAGACTGTGATCAGTGTCGTGTTGTGTCTGCACGACTTGAAGAATATGAAGTGGGGGGGGGAAGGGGAGGGGAAGGAAGGAAGGAAGGAATAGGTGAAGGGGGGTAAGGGTTGGGGAAGGGAAGGGAGAGGGAAGGGGGGGTAAGGGTTGGGGAAGGGAAGGGAGAGGGGAAGGGTGGGGTAAGGCTGCGGTTAGGAGATAATCATGAGACGAGTGAGAGATCTGGGATTCAATGGAAGGCCTAGAACAGTGGGATATGGAGCTCAGTGATGAGAGTCTGATGAAGAGGCATTATTGGGGTCGAGTGATTGGTTGTATGTTGGTGAGAGTAGTGAGTATATGGTGTGTGGGTGGGGTTAAGAGGAAGAATGTGTTGTAAGGGAGGGCAATTTGTCTTGTGAATGGAGTGTGTTGAAGGAACTGGAGAGTATAAAGGGGGAAGATGCGAAAAACGAGCTTGAGAAATTAGGCCAAATCCAGCATATAACTGTGAAGGAGTCGATGCAGCTGACATGATACCAGCCAGCATGCTCGGATCTCTCACAGCAGTTATCGCACTGGATGGCCCTCTGGCCCCATTTGACAGGCCTCGTGCAGATCATGCACGGGTACTTGGGGCGCCGGTATCACCGCAAAGGAATAGCAGGAGAAGGATCGAGTGCCTGGAGTGTTTGTCTTGTAGTGTGTATCAGTGTACCGTAGGGTTGCAAGGGTGTGGAATGTGTCAGCACTTGTTTGTGTTGTGTGTGTTTAGTTGTTGATTCGTGGGTGTCTGCGTGTGTTTAAGGATTTGTGCATGAAGTGTGAGTATAATGAGTGTAAGTGTAAGTGCAAGAAAGGTAATGTGTAATGGGACGTGACATCTAATGTTGTTTTCTTGCTTTTCTTGGGCGTGAGCGAGTAACGTGTTGTTGTGTTGTCGGCCTGGAGTGAATTGTCAAGTAGCCGGTCATTGCGCAGAACAGGCGTTTTGTGTAAACATGAAGGAGTTGGTGTGTAAAAGTCAGTATTAGGTTAAAAAAAGGTGATAAAAAACTAAAAAAAAAAATATATAATAAACTGTTTTTGTTAATATATAAAATATCTAAAGGTTAAAAAAGCATATGTTCAGGTGTGTTCCACTTAGCTTGGTGGAGGAAGGTAGAAGAGGGGAGGGATGGGCGATGCATGTGAAAACACGTCCGTCATGATTGCACAAGTGTGCCTGCTCCTTTTGAACCTCAAGTAATGTAGGTTAGCTGGGAAGGCCTACCCCATGTCTTTGAATGAGGGACCTTAATCTTGTCTTTTTTGGTTTGCTTGTTTGCCAGTGGCATTTATGTAAAGTGTATGAATGTAAAGGTAGATGAATATGACCTAGGTGTACAAGTTAGTGCGGATTATCTAACATATTTTGTGGTGTAGGAAGGAACAATGGTTTGTTTTCCCCTCAGCTGAGTTTGTTTTGGATTGTTTTCTTAGGATCTGGTATTGGAAGTATGATCCCTCGCAGTTGCAACGTTTGATGCTCTTTGCATTTGGAATAGATGACCTTCAACAGAATGAAAATATTTTTGTTGGTCTCTTTTTGGTGATTAATATAACAGGTAAGGTATTATTTGATATTAATGTAGCAAATCTTGGCAGATCCACATTCGTTGGAGGATTGTCCAGTCGGTCTTTTTAGCTACTACTATTCATTTTGATTTCTTTTCGGGGGAGTGTAATGAAGCCATTATTTTAATATACCAATGGTCACCATAAATGGGGTCAGTCACTTGTTTGGCAACTCTTTGAAGCCATTGGGACCGAAAATGTCTGACTGCCACCTCAATTCTGAAAAGATTCTGGAGAGCTACCTCACATGAGGAGCTCTCAAGCATAAGATAATTTTATGACTTCATCCATGGTTCATGTCATAGCATGGTTGTTGGATGATGGGAATACAGAAAATTCTGGCTGGTGCTAATTAGACTGATAGGATGGCTAAAGACATCGACAAGGGCGGGGCTCTTGCTTGTCTATCCAAATTAACCCCATGTCAGTGAGTAAATTCTGATATGCAAGCCCTCCATCTTTGTTACTGTAAAACTATTTTGTATTTTTCGGCATTATCATTTGTCACTTTTCTGAGGGCAACCTTTCATTTTTCTGAGGGCAACCTTTGTCACATTTTCTGAGGCAACACATTTTCTGAGGGCAACCTTTGTCACATTTTCTGAGGGCAACCTTTGTCACATTTTCTGAGGGCAACCTTTGTCACATTTTCTGACAAGTTATTTTATAAAATAAAATACCATAAGCAATGACTACCATGTCAAGAAGGTTGAACAAAAGCTTATGATGATTGAAGAACTTGCAGTGATTGAGTACGAGTGAGCCATATTACCAGAAATATCGATCCCCTCATCCCAATTTTGAAGACAACTCAACATTTGCAAACGTCTTGAAGGACTGGGTGGCCATCATACTTTTGTAGATAGCCTTAACATGACATGCTTACTGCACCACTGCAAGCAAGCCCACTCCAACTGTTCACATCTCTGTTGGCTTTCCCCAGCAGAACAGTTGCCATGAACTTGATGTTGGGACAGACTGTCCCAACTGTGTCCTTGCCCTGATTCTGCAGATAATGAAAAAAGGTGGAGGAGGTATACAAGTTGTTGGTATAGAACTCGTACTCCTTTACAAGCAAAACCTGACTTGGCTATCAAGTTAACAGCCCTCTGGGTTGCAGGTAAGCTGCCTAAATGTAGCAACATTTCAGGCCAGCACTGACTGTAAGCTTGTAAACATTTACTGAAACGCCTGCTTTCTGGGGTTGAAGGTCATGGCTGGAAATTGCCAAAATTTCCAGAGACTCATCAACCATAACCTTCAAAGGGTGTAGATCGACAAGAACTGATGCTGGAGAATTAAGATTACTGGCCTTGACTTTCACAGGTGGTCCACCAATGAGGAGGGGGAGGGGGTGACTTCCTTTGCTACATGGAGGTATCCGTTTATCAAAACAATCCCGTCATAGTCTCAGGGAACAGGGTCATGGCGTAGAAACAATCAGTAATGCCTTTGCTTGGGCATTTGGTTTATTCCCATAGCAAGTCTTGTGCAAAATTATTGCAGAAACAGTTATATTTGCCGTACAAATATGTCCAGTAAGAAATACGTGTTTGAAGAAAGTGAAACAAGTAAATGTTTCTCATGATGAGCTCGCCCATGAGCTCATTGGTGATGAAGTGGGAGAATGTCCAAAGGCCTTGAGTAAGCATCCAACTAGGTTATTTTGGCATCGAAAGCAAACCTCTTGGGCACATTCTCCTTCCACCTCCAGAATAGGAATTATCGCCACTGTCACTACTGCTTTTGCTGTCAAGACAACAAGAGTATAAACCCCTATGCTCATGCACATATCAAAATATCGGATGAGAAGGCCGAAGGTGAAGACAGCTGGCTATAGCAGCAAGGGAAGGAGTACAAATTTGTCATGTACAGGGTGTGCGCAACAATAGTAGTTTGAATTGCTGTGCTGAAAACACCCATCACCAGCCATTCTGGTCGTGCCAGTTCGCCACTTTGTTCAATTTGATGCCTAACCTGATGTCTTTTATCATAATGTAGTGGATGGTAGTAAAGTGTCCGTTATATCTCGTTTCTGTCAATTGTTATATTCTTAGGATGTAGACAGACGAGAGCTTAGGAGGGTTATTTGTCACATGGATAGTGATGAATCATGTTTGTGATAACCAAATAGGTGATATATGCAAATTTACACCATTGTCTGGGAGAATGGGTTAGCTCTCATTTGCATTACTGTCAGATGTTCGTCTGAGTCCATAGAGATAATGCTGTGACATATTCCAGTTCAGAATTAAAGCTGCTGTTGGAGTTCCTGCTTCTGTTGAGGAAACCTACCCGAGGAATATAGTCCTCAGAACTTCGTTATAATCCTAGGGGCCAGCCCTGTAGTGCTCCTAGGCATGTGTCGTTTCACTTTCCACAAAACCCCTCCTCCCCACCATCCCAAATCTCCTCAGAAACCTCATAAGATGGAATTGCATGCATCATATTAACATACAAATGTCCCAGTATGAGGAGCTGCACCCATGTCAGCCATGACAAGAAAGCAAGACATCCTAAGACTAAAAGCGTTTTAAGCAGGGAAGTACTTGAGCAAGAATTCTTGCCAATAGGCCAAGAACTGTACCGTTCCCTGCTTAAAACGCTTTCCAAGGCAGGCATGTTGTGTCAGACATGTGGAAGTGTCTTTCTATAAAGTAGAAATCATAACAGTCATTGGATAACATAGAAATGTCAAAATAACACACAGCATATACATACTCGGGTTTTAAAAGCAATAGACAAGTATTCCCACCAACAATCTCGGAAAGAGATAACTAATGCATAAATCGAGGGTGGAGTTTATTCCATTGGCGGTTGGTAACAGTTTGAGCGTGCATCTCAAAAAAACTGACAAGCAAGCGCCGCATCAAGATAGCAGAGTAAATCTACCCAAACATCTTAAAGTGCAATATTTTATCCTATATTTATATAAAGTGCCTCTAAAACAATGAGACACACTTCCGATCGGAAGCCCTTTCATTCTGACGCATTATCAAAACAAATGAACATCCCTGAATTAAAATATAGGCCTACCCATTCTCATATATCCGATTTATGAGGTTAAATATATCAAATCATCGAATTCAATATCAACAGAATGAATTTGACTTTTTTCACTTGAAATATTCTTTATTTCATAGAATAGCAGATATATTCTCGATTTAGATACGAGGATTTTAACAGTAAGAGGTGAATTATTCGTCTTATAATGATTTATTATTTATTAGTAAAACACTTTTTATTCCAATAATCTCCTTTCGTTTTCAGTTAATTTCAATTTCTTTGAATATCATTCTAAGAAAAGTACAGAATCATATACCATGAAAAAAATTATTTATCTGATAAGATATTAAGCAGAGTTCCTGGCCAACGTCGCATACCAGTACGGTATGCAACCGACGCTGTTGCCATGTTGATGGTACACCGCTTGACTTAGCAGGCTCAAAAGGCTCAAAAGGCTCAAAAGGCGATTTCAGGCAAGAACTTTCCATGCTTAAAACGCCTTAAGAGCTAAGACCTCATGGCTCGGTATGTTTTTGGTACCTGCCAGTGGACTAGCGCTTATTAAGTGAACCCCGCTGCCTGAGTAGGTAGCATAGGTAGTCTTTGGTTCAGACATTTCACAATGAACAATATTGGCTGACTAATGAGAAAAAGAAGTTGTGGAATTCCTGCTTCAATCATTTGCTCTTTCATTATGCATGCTTACAAGTTTGGTTACTAGTTAATAGCAACAGCAGAAACAAGGCCAATAACCTAAGCACCATCATCTCACTTGATCGTCTCCTTACAATACCCCAAGGGGTTCAATTGATTGGGTGGGGTGTACCTCGGAAATTTTTACACACATCTGGTAAGATAGAGCTCTATGCGTCTTTGCATACACCTGTGTGAATGCAGAAATCCAATGCGGGTTTGAAGTACTCTACAATTAGCTAGATATCAAAATACTCAATAATGCAAGTTTCTCTGCAGAGCTACTACAAATGAAAATAGATATAATTTGCCATAAATTCCAATGCAGCACAATTGAAATGTTATAGGTCTGTCGGAAATTATTGGCTCCAGCTCCTACCCACTCTTTTCAGGTTAGAGACGCAGCTAATGTCAGATGTAAGTCCTATGCAATTAGATTGATAGATAAATAATAGAATACATCTTTCATTGCTATCAGGTGGAGACCAATGTGATCCTTGCTCTGGCAAGTTCCATGACAGGTGTGACTTTTTACCAATTTGATGGGTGGAACTTTGTGGCAAAATCGCTCAAGGACACGAAAGGAGCCATTGATGTGGGTGTGAACTCCATTTCTATGGTTTCTCTGCCTGACAGGATCCTTATGGGTGAGATGGATATTACATAGTTTTGAAAGATTTTTTAGATTGTCATAATTAGGTAGGAATAAGGGCTTCAGAACTGATTAAACCACTTTATATAATATGCAAAAGGGGACAAGGATTTTTTGTTTGAGCTAAATTATTGATTTGTTTGCTATTTTTATTGTTCATATATGATGTATTAAGACTTGGTCAGTTTGATTATACGAGGGAATAGTTTCTGGAAAAAAAAAAAAATCAGCAGGTCTAGAAACTTGTTAATGCAGAAGTGAAAGCAATTCATGAAATTGGGATCTGGCTAACGATTTTCTTTTGTTTCTTGAAGGAGTCAGCAACCATAATCCAGACAAGATGAGTTCCAATCTCTTTACTCTGAACATCAACTATACAAATTCTCTCGACGTACGTATGTAATGTAGATGAGATGCCATTATTGAAGTAGGTGTTAGGGAAAGAGATTTAATTTGATGAAAGAAAAGAGACTATAGCATGTGGGGCAGCAGAAATATTTAGCATATAAATCCTAACCAATAGTCAATTAATATTGATATAAACTACCACGTCTATCCCAGAGCTACCATCACCGCGCTGACGAATGGTGCCAGAACCGACGCGGTAGCATAAAGAAGCTAGACGTCACTGAATTGGAGGCACGCGTAGCTTCTGCTCCTCAGGCTGCCTCGGGCCATGTCTTTACCCAGCACGTCACGATCACAGCTGATCTGACCGTGGACCACACGGCAAATGTGACTATGGTAAGTTATTTGTAGTATTTACTTTATGATTATTAATAATACCAGTTTCCTTGTGATGGTTTGGAAGGCGTTATTAATTTCCTGGTTGTGTATTCGTTATTTGCCCTAGTTCGTGTGGTGTGATTCACTGCAGAGGCTTGATCACAAGTTCATTTTCATCAACTGATATACTGGGCATTCAGTATTTTACCAAAACTTATTCTATGTTTTACCATCAAATTATTGTCCTCAGGTACATGTAACGGAACCAGACGTACATATACCTATGGACTGGAGCCATCTCTCAGACCTTCAAGAGAACGTCGAAAAAATGGCTGCCAGTGTTGCAGCCAAAGTGAACGACTCGATATTCGTCGACTCTCCTCAAACCTGGCCAGGTGTGTGGGGGTGTAAAATTAGGGAAGGTAGAGTTCAATGTAGGACGCTATAATATGAGGCTGGTTTTGTTGTTTGTTGGCGTTTTCAATCCCACTATATCCTCTTAGACAAGCCCCTCAGGTTCCGGGCATCATTATGATTTCTAGGTGATTTTCTTCTGAACTCCGTTGTCAACATCGAGTTAACTTAGGAAAATTTTGTTCGTGCTCTGTCATTTTAAAAAGGGAATGCGAGATGGCTTTCCTTTGTACTTCCATGAATGGGTACTTCTAATTATGCGTTCGAGTCTGAAGACTTGCAGCAATATGCTTAAAGCACACAGGTCTTTATTAAGGAACGTTTGTAAAACCTATCCTAATTTATACTCGTGATTGGCTGGCCTGCAGTTGCATAAATTTGCTACTGTATTTTAGTATGTTTTACCGAGAAAGGACTTGCAACACATTTTTTTTTCAGTATACAGCCGTTATTACAAAGCTTTCGTAAATGAATAGACATTCAAGCAGACCTATCACTCAATCATTTCCCGATTGGGTCAACTATATACAATTATTTTTTGCATTAGACCCAAGTAGCTGACTCTGTCTTCATTCCTCTTATATGACCAGTAATTACTGTGTAATTAAGATGTACATGTTATTGTATTGTACTCAACTACATAACATTTCCTTAATTCTTTTCTTCTTCAGCTGATCTTCATTTCGCGGACCTCAAGGTCGAGAGCGAAAGCAAAGTTGACGAGCTATTTGTAAATGAGGTCAATGGTGTGACCTTCCCTGCAGATGATGACGTCATAAGACTTACAGGAGCATCTTACTCGACACTCCATTCTCTCTCCTTCGAACACGTGGAGGCTGAGGCAAATATCTTGGAGGCTTTAGTTAGATTCATTGTTTGTCCATTCGATATTTATGGCCCATTTTTTCTCATTTCTTTATCTTATTTCAAGGTTTATTTACCTTGTTTATTTATTATCGCTTGCAGTTACCGTCTTTCACTACACTTCATATTCTCCTTCCTCTTTCTACCATTCACGTTGCTGTGTAGTCGATTTATAAAAAATCGAAAACAAATCTATAATCATGCTGTCCTCTTTACCTCTCCACTAATTGTTTCTAATATCATCCTAGTCCTCTTTTTCATATTTCTCATTTTCCTTTCTCTCTCACCACCACCTTTTCATTTACTTCTCTCTGTATGTCTTGCAAACCCAAGTCCGTTCTCTCAGTATATTCTGTGGTTCCTCCAGGTCGACACTCACGTCACGAACTTAACAGGGCGCCCCTTCTCTTCGTACGTCACCCTCCACGGTACTCATAACATCACTGGCAACACCACCTTCCTTGGGGTCGTGAAGGCATCTGTCGTTGAATCGACGTCAGGTTATGTAGACGACCTCCTTGTGAGAAACTCGACCGTTTTGACAACGACAGGCCAGCAGGAGTACTTGGGTAAGGATTTGATTTAGTATAATAAATCCTTCCATGCATTACACAAAATAATCAGGAATCCTACATCAATACAGTGACATAATAGAGCTTGATGTAATTTTTAGATCGTGATGCACGTCTTTTTTCTGAGAGATTAGAAATTGTCATGGAAACCTTATATCAATTAAGATTTCTTTATAAATCAAAGTGCACATTTTGTTTACTCAGCTCTTCAATCAGAGGATATTATACAATGGACATGTATTTTTAGTTCCATCAACATTTCTTGAAGCCTTGGAATATTTGCTTCCAATACATAGTCTTTTAACGGCAAAATATACTTCTATTACAACTTTATTAGGCCTAGCATGAATTCTTGTACATGTTACATTAAGATGTTTGGTATATCTGTTAGTTTTTTTAGTTAGTTATATTCATTATCAGATGTTCCTCCAGTATCATATTCTTTAGATGCATAAATATAGTATGTTAACCATTTCCTACTATCCCCTGTAGGAAGCAGTAGCCCATACCCAGTCCTGTACTGCTGATTTTTAGTTATACATGACCCATAAGTGAAAATTGATTGCTTTATATCATGTCCCTGTAAGATACTATTTCGGATTTATTTTTGATCCTAATGAAGATGGGTTTGTTTTTCTCAGAAGACATTTGCCGTGATAATGTTAGAGAAGAATGTAGCTACATATCTATCATAAAATAGTTTCAAGTTTAGGACATTTTTAATTGAAACCGATCGATGACGTCCTGCATGGGCCTAATTCTGGAGAGATTCATTGGCAAACTATTTTCTAATGAGTTCAGTTGTCTTGTTGATTTGTAATGCTAAACATATTGACATCCACGATCGTGTGGATCCATTAATAAGAACCCACTTCATACAATAGTAGAAAACGTGTTTTCTATATACATGGCTAATTTTGAATCCAGTACACTTGTTAACTATTTAGTTTTTCCATTTGTCACCAGGGGCTTTCACCTGTCAGAGCGTTAATGTTTTTGAGATAGAGCCTGGGACACTGAATGGTGTTGACATTAATCAGTTCCATCGTGATGTTGTTACTGTGGATGGAACCCATGACATATATGGTATGTTTTCTCTTTATTTATTTTTATAGCATTAGTATCTTTGCTTGCATGATTGTTTATAATGGTCAGTCTGGTAATATTGAAAATGCAGATATTCCCCTCCCCTTTACTTTTTTTGAGGGGGGGGGTAGTTACATCAAGACTAATTTGGATAGATTCTAGTAAGTTTGACTTTCCAGGCACATTAAGTCTTGAAGAACTTGTTTATCAAGGTAATTTAGAGACAAATGTATCGGCAAACATTGATCTAGTTAATCCACTGAGGACAGATGTTACAGCTACCCAGGAGGTCACAGGTAAAGGGATATATTTTTTAGAAATGATCAAAAGTCCTTTTGAATTTCGATAGGGGAGTGAAGTTGACATGTATCATTTTGTAATTTTACCCTACATTTTAATTTTTCATAAGATCAAATAATAGCTTATAACTGAAATGTCTAATTTTAAAATTCTTTAGCCATACACAAGCTAAGAAATCTCGAAGTGGAAGACCTTGAAGTGGGAGGAAACGTCAACTCGGTAAAAATACCTGAGGATGTCTTCATTAACGGTTCAGACTACTTTGTGTATTCAGCGTCTCTCAGCAATGTGAACGCCGCGTCCATCCAGATCATGAAGAAACTCGATCATATTACTGTGAGTGCGATATGTTCAGACAAAAGTTGTTGTGCAAGTATGTACAGCTGGCTAGACACTCGCAGCTATCACAGAACTATAAATCAGAGATTTTATCTGCAAACACAATAGGGCATGAAAATGTAAAAAAAAAAAACTGTATCGATAAAATTAGAATGACTTCTTGGTAAACTTTTCATATGTAGAGTAAAAAAAGAGATGACAGACTGCACCCTCATCCTTTAATATTTTGATAGAAAGTCTGTATGCTTATTGTATCACAGCCTACCCTATCAAAAGGATGGAGGGTTTTTGAAATTGACTACATAATTTGTGAATTAATATCGCCTATATTTCCTTTCTCTTTCGATATCACTTATGAATCAATAACCAGCTTATATGATACTTTCATGTATGTAAGAAGTTTGCTTTGCTTAAAATAATTCTTTGTAAATTTAACAGGTTATATGATACTTTTCCTGCACATGTAGATTCACAGATGTAGATCCAGAGATTGAGTTGGTATATTCACGTGCAGATTACGTAGATTTACATTTCAAAACACTAAATCAATTTTGTTTTCATATCCTTCAGGTGAACAACGATGATCGGTTGAACATACTACAGACTTCTGGTGATCAAGTTGTGACTGCTCCTAAAACATTCAGAGAATTTCATTTGGCCGACACTTTCCTCACACCTGTGCTGGAAAAGAAACGGCGAAGCATTCCGGATGAATGCACGCTTTCCTCATCCACAGGTATCACAGAACTGGAGGGCAACTTTGAGAAACTTAGGGGGCTCTTGCAAGGCTTGTCTGTGACAAAGGAATTCTTGATGCTAATTCGAGATGCACAACCTGGGAAAATGGTACAGGTCCCCATTCGTTTTGCGGATTTATATGCGGAAGTTCTAAAACAGGAAGCCATTTCATGTGCTCTTGTACAAAGTGATGTTGTCTTTACCGAGATGTTGACATTAGCAGATAAGCCACATACAGCAGTGACTCCTTATGTGAACAGAACCTGGAGTGCTGATGGACTTGCTGTTATGATTTTGAAACTTGAAGGGTATGTGGAAGACATGAAAGAGCTTTTTATTTCATATGCCACTGAAATTATGACCTGGCCGAAATTGGTTGAGTTCTTCCACTATGCTAGAAGGCAAATGGCAGACACTGTCGAGAGGGATCTTCCACTATTAAGACTAATAAAGAATCTCTTTGATTCCCAAAACTCCCAGAGATTGATTAACCCAGTGCATAGTTTCTGTGACTCAGTCTGTCCAGTGAAAGGTAATGAAAATGTCTGTTACCTTGGTATTATGGTTATTAGGAACATTGTCAGAAGAATTGCCTCTTATCCCTCGGTTTTAGAGACAACGTCAATCCCAAGCCAGAAACAAGATAGAGCCCAGATGATTAGCTTAGCAATTATAGAGAGGGATATTGATGCATTGCTTGGCTACTTATCTGCGGATGAGCGTCTACAGGAAAGTCTCCACATAGCAAGTCTCTGTAGCTTTTCCAAGAAATGGAATATGGAAGATGATAATGACCAGACAGCTTTAGAGGTTTTATTGGCTTTTGAAGATGAGCTGGAGAACCTCTCTGCCGACCTGAAGCGGAAGAGACGTAGCCACGAAGGTAAGATTAAATTTTTTTCTTTAACCGATACACTTCGGTTTCAAGAATGTTATTTGGGTAGGTCTGCGTGTGCATGTGTGTGTCATTAGTATCTTGTCCTGTAACTGACCATCGACTGTGAGCTTGCCTTTGTGAATTTTTCATTTAATGTCCTGTGTAGGTATAAACTTTTTGGTATAAATGTCCATGTAACTTAAATGCTGTCTAATAGGCTCAGAAATAACTGTACCAAATAACCAAGTTCAAGTATGATAGTCCTAGCACTTATTATTACATATCTAAGACCAAGTAAGGACTCGCTCCAGTACATATGTTTACCTGCTTACATATGTGCATGTTTTTGTTGTATATATATATTTAGTTATTGTTTTTGTACATTGTTTATATAGAATGTATTTATATTTATGGGTATATATATATCGAGTTTAAATTTATTTCTTCTTGCACAAATAATCTAATTTGACCATGCAGGTGGAACATCAGCAACCACAGATTACACGGCTCCGTTCGATACAAATAGTGCATCAGGGACTATATCTAATCATGACACTGTGACCTCCTTATACGAGTCCTCCACCTCTACAATTCTTCCTAAAGATCTTCCTTACTTAGATACTGTAATAGCTTATTTAGAGTACTATGAGTCGACACTGCCTTGGACTCGACCCCCTCCAGCGACTGAGGTTCTAGATCTAGCAATTCTAGAGAAAGTAGAACTAGATCTTGATTATATCATCAGCACTTTAGATGATCTCGATTTTGACCTTTTCATTTTAAAGGGTCAGGTAAGGAAATACCTTGAGAATGAGGCCCAATCATTTAGAAATATATTAAATGAGCTAAAGTTATCCTTAGCAAAGCAGACCTCCGAGGTGATATTTGACAAGATAGAAATCATCTACTCATTTGTAAGAAAACTCAGAGAGAAGTTGAGTGTGATGATGGTGACGACCGCGGGAGGGTTGGACGTACCGGAGACGACCGCGGGAGGGTTGGACGTAGCGAAACGGGAGGTTGGACGTATCTAGGAGGGTTGAGCGAAAACGACTCTAGGAGGGTTGGACGTAAGCGAAACGACTCTAGGAGGGTTAAGAATGATGGAAACAAGTGGCGAAATTCTGCAACTAACCGAAGTGGCCACCGGAGGAGAATTGGATACCAAAAGAACGACCGTGGGATTTGAAGCAACAGACCAAAATCCAGCAGCACCTCGAATCATGATTGGAAACACACATCTCATTGAGCATTTTTACGTAGCTCTGCCAATGACGACAACGGTAGACACTGTCATCACATCAGTGAATAATGAGCAGGTTGATGCTATTAGTGGTAATGACATTCAGTATACTACAGTCACTCATGGTTATATTTCTAGTGTGACAATGTGGTTCACTCATATACTAGTTGCTGATTCATTGTCAAATTTTACTGAACGCCACAAGGCTCTTTATGCTGGTATGGTCGGGAAATGGACACCTATTGCAACAAATATCCATGGCACTGACACATCAACACTCTTTATTAAGTCGATGCCGACGTTTTCGACTGCACAACAGATAATGGGTTCACCAACGACTGTTCCTAGTTCAACAAACGCTCTCTCCGGATCGACAGTATTACTAAGTTCATCAATTGAAGGTAACATAAGTATAAAAAATCCAGCTGCAACTGAACAACCATCATCGTTGATGGCAGGTGTATTCGCAACTCCATCCACAACTGAGCATCTGAAGCTGTGAAGCTGAAATTTCTACCACAATCTGAAGCTGAAATTTCTACCACATCTGAAGCTGAAATTTCTACCACATCTGAAGCTGAAATTTCTACCACAAGTGGAGCTGAAATTTCTACCACATCTGAAGCTGAAATTTCTACCACAGCTGAAATTTCTACCACAAGTGGAGCTGAAAATTTCTACCACAAGTGGAGCTGAGTGGAGCTGAAATTTCTACCACAGCTGAAATTTCTACCACAAGTGGAGCTGAAAATTTCTACCACAAGTGGAGCTGAAATTTCTACACAAGTGGAGCTGTCTGATGGAGCTGAAATTTCTACCACAAGTGGAGCTGAGTCTGCAAGTGGAGCTGAAATTTCTACCACAAGTGGGCTGAATTTCTACCACAAGTGGAGCTGCGAAATTTTCTACCACAAGTGGAGCTGAAATTTCTACCACAAGTGGAGCTGAAATTTCTACCACAAGTGGAGCTGAAATTTCACAGTGGAGCTGAAATTTCTACCACAAGTGGAGCTGAAATTTCTACCACAAGTGGAGCTGAAATTTCTACCACAAAGTGGAGCTGAAATTTCTACCACAAGTGGAGCTGAAAACCACAAGTGGAGCTGAAATTTCTACACAAGTGGAGCTGAAACTGAGCTGAAATTTCTACCACAAGTGGAGCTGAAATTTCTACCACAAGTGAGCTGAAATTTCTACCACAAGTGGAGCTGAAATTTCTACCCACAAGTGGAGCAATTTTCTACCACAAGTGGAGCTGAGTGGAGCTGAAATTTCTACACAAGTGGAGCTGACTGACCTCAATTTCTACCACAAGTGGAGCTGAAACTCCATCCACAACTGAATCCACCTCGGTTTCTATCACAAAGTGAGCTGAAACTCCATCCACAACTGAGCACCTCGGCTTCTACCACAAGTGGAGCTGAAACTCCATCCACAACTGAGTCCACCTCATTTCTACCACAAGTGGAGCTGAAACTCCATCCACAACTGAGTCCACCTCATTTTCTACCACAAGTGGAGCCGAAACTCCATCCACAACTGAATCCACCTCGGTTTCTACCACAAGTGGAGCTGAAACTCCATCCACAACTGAATCCACTTCGGCTTCTATCACAAGTGGAGCTGAAACTCCATCCACAACTGAGTCCACCTCATTTTCTACCACAAGTGGAGCTGAAACTCCATCCACAACTGAATCCACCTCGTTCTACCAAGTGAAGCTGAAACTCCATCCACAACTGATCCACCTCATTTCTACCACAAGTGGAGCTGAAACTCCATCCACAACTGAGTCCACCTCATTTTCTACCACAAGTGGAGCTGAAACTCCATCCACAACTGAGTCCACCTCATTTTCTACCACAAGTGGAGCTGAAACTCCATCCACAACTGAGTCCACCTCATTTTCTACCACAAGTGAGCTGAAACTCCATCCACAACTGAATCCACCTCAATTCTACCACAATTGGAGCTGAAACTCCATCCACAACTGAGTCCACCTCAATTTCTACCACAATTGGAGCTGAAACTCCATCCACAACTGATCCACCTCAATTTCTACCACAAGTGGAGCTGAAACTCCATCCACAACTGAGTCCACCTCAATTCTACCACAAGTGGAGCTGAAACTCCATCCACAACTGAGTCCACCTCAATTTCTACCACAAGTGGAGCTGAAACTCCATCCACAACTGAATCCACCTCTCTACCACAAGTGGAGCTGAAACTCATCCACAACTGCTCTTCTACCACAAGTGGAGCTGAAACTCCATCCACAACTGTCCACCTTTTCTACCACAAGTGGAGCTGAAACTCCATCCACAACTGAATCCACCTCGGTTTCTACCACAATGAGCTGAAACTCCATCCACAACTGAATCCACCACAAGTGGAGCTGAAACTCATCCACAACTGAGTCCATACCACATCTGAAGCTGAAATTTCTACCACAAGTGGAGCTGAAACTCCATCCACAACTGAATCCACCTCAATTTCACCACATCTGAAGCTTCTACCACAAGTGGAGCTGAAACTCCATCCACAACTGAATCCACCTCAATTTCTACCACATCTCTGTTTCTACCACAAGTGGAGCTGAAACTCCATCCACAACTGAATCCACCTCGGTTTCTACCACAAGTGGAGCTGAAACTCCATCCACAACTGAATCCACCTCTTTCTACCACAAGTGGAGCTGAAACTCCATCCACATCTGAATCCACCCGTTTCTACCACAAGTGGAGCTGAAACTCCATCCACACTGAATCCACCTCAATTTCTACCACATCTGAGCTGAAACTCCATCCACAACTGAATCCAAATTCTACCACAAGTGGAGCTGAAACTCCATCCACAACTGAATCCACCTCAATTTCTACCACATCTGAAGCTTTCTACCACAAGTGGAGCTGAAACTCCATCCACAACTGAATCCTTTTCTACCACAAGTGGAGCTGAAACTCCATCCACAACTGAGTCCACCTCATTTTCTACCACAAGTGGAGCTGAAACTCCATCCACAACTGAGTCCACCTCATTTTCTACCACAAGTGGAGCTGAAACTCCATCCACAACTGATCCACCTCAATTTCTACCACAAGTGGAGCTGAAACTCCATCCACAACTGAATCCACCTCGCTTTCTACCACAAGTGGAGCTGAAACTCCATAATCCACCTCATTTCTACCACAAGTGGAGCTGAAACTCCATCCACAACTCCAATCACCACAAGTGGAGCTGAAACTCATCCACAACTCTCATTTCTACCACAAGTGGAGCTGAAACTCCATCCACAACTGAGTCCACCTCAATTTCTACCACAAGTGGAGCTGAAACTCCATCCACAACTGAATCCACCTCAATACCACAAGTGGAGCTGAAACTCCATCCACAAACTGAATCCACCTCGCTTTCTACCACAAGTGGAGCTGAAACTCCATCCACAACTGAATCCACCTCAATTCTACCACAAGTGGAGCTGAAACTCCATCCACAACTGAGTCCTCAATATCTACCACAAGTGGAGCTGAAACTCCATCCACAACTGAATCCACCATCTACCACAAGTGGAGCTGAAACTCCATCCACAACTGAATCCACCATCTACCACAAGTGGAGCTGACAACTGTACCACAATGGAGCTGAACTGCAGTGGAGCTGCTGAAGTGGAGCTGAAACTCCATCCACAACTGTTTGTGACAATTTCTACCACAAGTGGAGCTGAAACTCCATCCACAACTGAATCCACCTGAAGTGCTGACTGCATACCACAAGTGGAGCTGAAACTCCATCCACAACTGCACAAGTGGAGCTGAAACTCCATCCACAACTGAATCCACCTCGGTTTCTACCACAAGTGGAGCTGAAACTCCATCCACAACTGAATCCACCTCGCTTTCTACCACAAGTGGAGCTGAAACTCCATCCACAACTGAATCCACCTCGCTTTCTACCCCAAGTGGAGCTGAAACTCCATCCACCTCCACCTCTCTACCACTGAAACTCCATCCACAACTGAGTCCTCCTCAATTTCTACCACAAGTGGAGCTGAAAATCCATCAATAACTGAGTCCACCTCAATTTCTACCAACGGTGAAACGGAAACCCCATCCACAACCGATTCCTCCTCATTTTCGACTGAAACTGAAATCATACACACAGGTCTTGACACCCCACCGTTGGCAGCACTTCCTTTGAAAACCTGCGAACCTCAACCTTCATTAACCCATACCCTTGAATCTTCATTGTGTACAGGCGAAAACTGCAATGAAGTTACACCCACAGCTATACATCAATCCCGACTGTATACCATCACAACAGATGTCGGTTATATTACTACATATATTGAGTGTGTTAGCTGTACCTTCATTTTTTCCTCCAGCATTGCCGTTATCCCTCACACAGTATTTAGTGCCATAACGACCAGTAGCATAATCTCTTATAACCACACTGATGATAATGCAGATACCAATAACCTTGCACCCACTTCAGGTGTGCTGGCCACCACCGCGGACGAAGTGGGGGACTCCTGGTCGGGTGTCACTGAAGGTTCAACAGAAGACATCATTGACAGCTCTAACGTCAGGGCTTTCGGTAACATCGTTGGAGGCGAATTTAACGCAAGTATCTCCTTAGTTCCTCCTGAGGAATCTTCAGAAGTCTGGAGTAGTCTGTCAGTTTACTTTCATAATTTGGAGAACTTTGTGAATACAATTTATAAACTTGATGGCCCTTTTGTCAATACAGCCAATGACGAAATAAGAAAGATCATACATCTGAACATTGATTATTTAAAAGCTTTGGACTCTAACTTTAGCATTGGCATTGAGAATGTAGCTCTTCTTGAGCACTTGTCTGAGAGCCTCATACTGGGTAGGGAACTGATGATGAATTACCGCATAACACCTGATGTGGCCAGTTCAGTTAAAATGATGAAGACCTTACCATGGATTCGTCGTCTAATGAATAAGATTGTTGAGCAAACAGGATCAAAACCCAAGGAATCTTCTGAAAAAATAATTGACACAAGAATGGGGCCTATATTGCCAGTCACATACAAGTATGAAATGATTATCAATGACGTTTTTCGCAACTTGTCACAAAAACTGATGACTGAAGATGCCGAGGAAGATCGCAAACAACGCATACTGCTCTTGATGGAGGTGGCAGAAAAGCTGATGGAAGCTAAACGATCTATATACTTATCACGGCAAGTTCGAGATACTGCAGACGAAGCAGAATTCATTGATGCTTTGATAAGCATCCTGAAAATGTTCGTTCAGACTGCACGATCATATACCAATACATATAATGCTTCAGAAGATAAGATGAAGAAATATAGAGAGGAACTGCTGCAGATAACTAGGATAATGAATTCGGTCTACCCAAATGTTGAACGTATTGCGGATTCAAAGCTATGGGAAATCAAGTGGTTGAAGGACCAGCTGATTGAGGACATGGCCTACTGTAAGGAAGGAAGACAAGTTATGACCACAAATCTAAACTGTGAACTACTCCTAAATTCAGGCTTGACCCACATAGATATACACTTCCCTTTTCTACCATTACCTACAGGCAAGGAACCAGTCTTTACGGATTCCCAGTTTACTTCTCCATTGCAAGATATGAATATGCTATCACCTAATCGTACATACCTCTCTGCCATACTAGCTTTCCTCAAAGTGGTTGAGGCTGGACTCCCTATACAAAACGAGGTTGCAGAATCACAAATGGGCTTGCCTGTTGTTATGGGTTTTGTAACAAAGGAGTTGGACTCTGTCGTGGATATCTTAACTAACCTTGAAAGTGATATTTGGAACATAGGGGGAGCATATGATACCTACCTTACAAATCGAGTGAAAAATTTCCTAGTTGCATGTGACCTTTTAGAGAAATATTCAGACCATGTAACTGATGATGTGTTAATCAGAATGAATAAGATCCGCCATCTTGTCTCAATTGTTAGATACAGAGTACTACAAGCATCTACAAATTTAGACAAATCTGCAGGACTGGCATTTCAAGCTGCTGAGAATGTTGCAGAGAAAAGCAATGTGATTAATATTGCAAATTCTAGAGATTCTATTTCTGCTGAGGTTGGTATGAAAACCTTCAGTGAAGTTTGTTCAAACATCACAGCAGCAATCTCTGAGGGATTAATGAAAAAGAATAGCTTTAGAACTGTTTTGGATAACATTCAAAATCACTTAAACTCCATGAATTTCCTTTGGCCTATTCATGTTAAGGTAAGTTCACATCGTAGATTGGGATATGCCTACTTATCAAAGCAGTCAAATATTGTCAGGAAAATTCTAGCAAAATTGAAGAATAATTTAGTGGGGACGATTACATCAAGAGAAGAAAACTTTTCTCCCGAGATTTTCAAAACTTTTGTAAACATTCTAAGGTTTGTTGAAAATTCAGATATAAGCATTAATAGTGAGACTTTTAAGAGACTTGATACCATCTATATGGAAAGTTCAGCAGTACTAGAGTTGATTTCTGAGTCACTGTCTTGTTTAGAATCAAAGCAGAAGTCGGTTGCCGAGACTACACTCGCTCTGCAAAGTGAACCTTCTACACATGTAACAACTTTTTCCACGGATCAAATGGAGCACACTTCCTCTGTGCCCAGAGTAGTCTCTTTCTCAGAAACAAAATTTGAACCGCCTTCCTCCTATCAAATGCCAGTATCCTTACTCCAAGTAAAGCCCACAGACTCAGAGCAAGTGAAATCAGAGTCCACTTCTTCCCCACAGGGAAAAACTGTTACCTATCCCAATCCAAATAGTTCAGACATCTTGTTATCACTCAATGGCTGTTCAGAGTTTCACACGCAGGTGGAATCTGATGAACATGTAAAGGTATTACTGACAAATTTGAAGGCAGCTAAAGAGTACTTACAACTTTTGGTTTCCATTGAGCCATTTACCATAGAGGCTGGGAAAAAGGAAGTGAAGAGTGTTAGTGCATTCCTTACCCGAGTTGTTCCAAAAGTGTATTCTGTCTTGCATGCACTTGATGTGGCACCAGTTGAGAAACAAACATTTTGGGATGCAAATATTTCGTTGGTGGAGGCAAAGGGTCTGGTTAGGATGTTAAAACACGTAAAGGCTTTTGCTCTTCTCCTTCCACATGGTGTAGCAAAGGAGATTAGGTATGTGTTGGATCAGGCACCTATCATTTTGAAGAAAATCATAACCGTTTCTGCATGCTTTGAAAAGCCACAGATGAAACCTGCTTCTGTATCCCTACCTAGCCTCCCAATAGCTTTTCCTGACGATACAACTTCCCTGCATGATGCCACAACATTGATGGACGATTCTAGTCTCCCACACAGTAGTACTTACAGAGATATCACCTACTCATATGATGGCACCAGCTCTATGATCTCATACCCTCACATCTACTACCACACACTCATGACATCACCACACATTCACATACTACTGCATTGCATATTCTTGACACCATACACAAATACACACACACCACCACTCATGACACTCACACCACCACTCCTTCACATGGAACTGCATCCACTTCACATGGACCACCACCACTCCTTCACATGGAACTACCAACCCACACGCACCTTCAAACTACCACCACCACCACTCCTTCACATGGAACTACCACCACCACCACTCCTTCACATGGAACTACCACCACCACCACTCCTTCACATGGAAGAACACCACCACCAATCCTTCACACACGCCACCACTTCGCATGGACTACCACTACCACCACCACTACTGCTTCGCATGGAACCACCACCACCATGCCCTCACATGGAACTGCATCACCAGTATTCAGAACCAAGAACTCAAAAAAGCTCCTGTACCATCTTGGGAAGACCCTGAAATACCTTCAGACCCTAAATTCATCGCTGCCATGGAATCTGCATCCTACACCCTCACAGGACTCCAGCATCCCTAGCTATCTGAAAGCGACGTCAAACATCATCCTGGAGAACCTGGAATTGCTAGCAAACCAACCTGTTGACCAACTTGAAAACCTGAAAAACATTTTCCATTCACGGGCAGAGCAGTTTGCCAGGATGATGAAGTATGCAAAGTCCTCAAGAAACCTGAAGATTTCGCAAGTATTTATGGAACAGCTTGACCACATGGGGCTGCTGTTACAGGTTTCCTTGAAAAAGGTGACTGAAACCATGGCTGCACTTGAAGGGTATGCAGAGGGTGAACCACACCTTGGAAATTTGCCTTCGACAAAAAGCAAGTATTTCCCTATCAGAACCACTACAGAGAAAACCTTTTTGGAAACCAGTAATAATACTGTCTCCCACCTCTTCTCCCACCTCCGCCCCCACCTCTTCTCCCACCTCCGCCCCCACCTCTTCTCCCACCTCCGCCCCCACCTCTTCTCCCACCTCCGCCCCCACTCTTCTTCTCCACCTCCGCCCCCACCTCTCTCTCCCACCTCCGCCCCCACCACCTCCGCTCCCACCTCTTCTCCCACCTCCGCCCCCACCTCTTCTCCCACCTCCGCCCACCTCTTCTCCCATCCATTCCACAACCACTGGAACTCTCACGCCCTCCCCAACACCCAGCTTGTGGGAAGAACTCGTTTCTCATCACAAGGAAAAGACCAGAACGCTTGCCACTCTCAGGCAATTCCAAGCAGAGCTGGTCTTACTGACAACCCAATGGACTTCGAACTATTCTCTTAACCCACCTTCCAACTCGATCAAAAACCGCCGCTCGGTTCCTTCAGAGCCACAGGAAGCCATGGCCGCCACGCTCAACGTCGCCAGAAGCATTCTCGAGACTCTGGCCAGCACGCCCACCTCGAGCAGCGTTCCAGTCTATGAGCAGGTTATAAACGAGCTGCAGGAGATATTCCAGAAGTACGAAGACACTTCCTCGGGGATGACTCCAGTGACGGAGGACGACCTGGCCAGGATCCGCGCTCTGACAACACAACTCCTTCCCGCTGTCGACGAGGTGATTCTGCTACTAGAGAACGAGGTCGCCGAACTGAAGCATGAGATCGACGCCGTGGAGGAGGAGCTCCTTGGCCCCATTTTAGGAGGGGATCACGTAGGTCCTCCTCTTCCTATGTCCACCGAAGATCAATCCTCTTGGGAGATTTTCAGCTTGCCAAAGACCCACTCGTTGGTGCCGTCTTCCTCGATGGTCCACGGCCTCGTTTCCGGTTACAAGATCGAACTCTTGTCGCAGTCCCTTCGGCAGGATATGAGCATCGGGGACAACGCAACGGAATTCGTTGGTATGATTTCACTGTTCGTCCGCCTGTCTGTGTTCTAATGCTTTTATATTGCTACCTTTTAATGTTTTTTTCGAATTTGCATCTGTTGCGTCAGTGGCGGCCAATCGTCTTTTTCCCTATTTTTCTCTTTTTCCTCTTTCACTTTTAAGCGATTTCCCTTTCTCAATTTTTTTATCATTTTATTTATTTTTTATTTTTTTGAAATCCTTTCTTTTTAATCCATTTCTCTTTATTTCTTTTGTTTCTGTTTTTCTTTGTTTTTGTCTGTGCTTTTTCTTTCTCTTTTCATTGTCTGTGTCTTCTTTGTCTGTTTTTCTTTTTTTAATCTATCTCTCTCCTTCCCCTCCTCTCGTCTTGTCCCCCTCCCTCTTGCCCTCCTACTCTGCTCACGCAGCAGATAATCTTAATAATAATGTATTCTTCCCCACTTTCCACGTTCCACAGAAAATATCAAACTAGAATAATGAGAACTAGATTAAACACATTCTTCGCCTCCAAAACTGTGTGCTTTCAAAACTTCTTATCTGAACAAATGAAACCCGATTAGTAACAAAAATATCACTCATTGCTATAAACAATAATAACTAAGACACCGCCACTCGTTCACAGTAAACCACAGAGACAAAATCCGAAACGTCGCCTTCAAAGCCCATCTTCGGGCGGGCGATGTGAACGGCGTGAACGTGACGCGCCTGAGGGAGTCTGGCGTAGCTCTGGATGCCGCGAGAGTGAACGTTTCGCTGTCGTTCGTACAACACGTCGGGGTGAGTTTTTTTTTCTATTATGACAGTTATTACTGGAGGTCTATCATATATATCTTGTATCAATCATATCTGATATGATGGCCTGCATATGATATCATAATCGTCTTTGTTAATCTATTGGCCGTGATGGTTCTATCTTCTTGTTAGTTAAATTGTGTGTAATTTATAACGATGCGTTTGGATGTGTGAAATACTTCAGACAAAATAATTGCATAATACCTCTAGATCATGAAATATAGAATATGCCAGATACATAATGAGTTATAAGTGAGGGAAAACAAGCATACTTCCTTTGTCATAATTATATGGTAATTTCACTTTAGGTGGCGGGGAATGTGACCGTGGAACAAATTAACGGAGTCCCCGCTGAAGAATACGTCACGAAGGACGGAACTTTTACCTTTGATGCTCCTGTTCAGTTCATGGTAGGTATACACATGTCTATCTATCCATCTATATCTAAATCATTTATTGTGTGTGTTCAATGCGCTACATACTGTTCTTTGCATGTTTAAACTACCACTCCCTTCCTGTAACAAGTTTAGAGGATGTAGCATCTACGTAGAATATATTTTCTTGCACATTGTATGATTTAAGAGGCATAAGCAGATGCTAGCATACGAGACAGTATATTCATTTAAAAAAATATAGTTGATATTAAGTCGATGTCTTGTTAGAAACGAAACGCAGCAATTATAGCTTCAATCCATTTCACATAAGGCGGAATCCTAATTCCCTTTAATCCACGCTGTCCTAAGGAGGGCGTGATGATGAAGGAAAACGTGACTGTGACCTCGACCCTCAACGACCTCGATCTCGGCAACGTGACCTCGAAGATGGCCAGGGTCACGGGCGCTAAGAATTTCCAGACTGACCTCGTCTTTGGACACGTGGATGCTGGGAGGTAAGAGGGAGTGGATGTCTTTGTTTGCTTGTTTGTACGCACTGGTTTGAATGGATGTCTGGAAGGATATATGAAGAAATTAGCATGTTGATGTATTGTACATGTAGGTGCGTGTGGTGTTTAGTCAGTGCATGATTGAGGACAAGCTTCTACACAAAATGGTAGTGTATGGAAACATCTAAAATCAAACATTATTTACAATCTCTTGGCTATCGTCCAAGAGATTTTAAGTA